GATAACAGTTGTATGAGCCCCTAATAAAATGTTTTAAAAAAAACCCAAAAAAACAAACAAACAAAAAAAACAACACGGCTACTTTAAGTGAAATTTAGAAGATGACGAGAGAGCAAAACTGATTAGTATGCTTGGAAATTACATTATATTTTTATAATATGCTTGTAAATAAGCCTCTCGTTATATGCTTGGTAACCCAAGATAAAAATAAGTACAACACACTCAAATACAGCATGATAGTTCGTGTAACCCACAGTGAGATCATCTGCCAGATTGCTTATACCCATATAGAAGGGATATGATTGTCCTCGCAGCTTATGCTCACGAACTTCCCAAGTATGGTGTGACAGTGGGCCTGACCAATGATACTGCAGCATGACCATACTGGCCTGCTGCTGGCCTGCAGGATTCTGAATAGGTTTGGCATGGACAAGATCTCTGAAGGGCAAGTGGCGGTAACTGGAGATGAATAATGGAAAGCATTGATGGTCAACCTGGTGCCTTCACCTGCTATCTGGATGCCGGTCTTGCCAGGACTACCACTGGAAATAGCGTGTTTGGGGCTTTGAAGGGGGCTGTGGATGGAGGCTTGTCTATCCCTCATAGTACCAAGCGATTCCCAGGTGATGATTCAGAAAGTGAGGAATTCAATGCAGGAGTACATCGGAAACACATCCTGGGTCAGAACCTTGCAGACTACATTCATTACCAAATGGAAGAGGATGAAGGTGCTCACAAGAAACAATTTTCTCAATACATAAAAAAGAATGTAACTCCTGACATGATGGGGGAGAAGTATAAGAAAGCACATGCTACTATTCAAGAGAATCCAGTTTATGAGAAGCCTAAGAAAGAGGTTAAAAAGAAGAGGTGGAATCATCCCCAAATGTCCCTTGCCTAGAAGAAAGATCAGATTGCTCAGAAGAAGGCAAGCTTCCTCAAATCTCAGGAACAGGCTGGGGAGAGGTAAACCAAACCATAATTTTCCATGAAGATTTCACACAGAAGGACAATAAACTTATTCACTAAGCAAAAAGAAAAAGAGAAACAAGGCTCCCAAATAGACAAAATATCAATTAAAATGCTTCAACAAGCAGGTGAAGTATTGGAAGCACTCACTCATCTCTGCCAAGAAATTTGGAAGACCAACCAACCTGGTCAACCAACGGGAAGAGGTCCACAGCTTGCCCCATTCTAAAGAAAGGCAACCCAGCAGAATGTAGAAATGATCAAATAATATCACTAATATCACATGCAGATAAAATTTTGTTGAATGTTATTCAAAAGTGGTTTCAGCAGTATATTAGCAAGGAGGCCGTCAGCAATTCAAGGCAGATTCAAAAGGGGATGTGGCACAAGGGATATCACTGCTGATCTCAGATGGATCTTGGC